CACGCGCACACATTTCCGCTGCCTTTGTGTAGCATAGTTGGTAGGCAATTGGCCGTCTTTGTTCTTCTTTACGAGAAGAAATCACTAAACGAAACCGGGCGTCTTGATCATCTATGTCGCGAGAAAATGCATGGGGAATTCAGATATATATTGTTTGATTCGACTGACAAAATGTTTAATCACACACACACGCACGTGCACACGTACACGCACGCACACGCACACACGCACGTGCACGCGGACACGCAGGCGCACAGGCACACGCACACGCACACGCACACGCACACGCACACGCACACGCGCACACTCAGGCGCGCCTGGACGCGCACACACAGACATACGCACATGAATGGGAATTTGTGCGGTGGCGCAGTGCAAACAGCAGGGATTGACTAGCTGCCGTTGCGTATCAACGCAGTGATCTCGTTGGTGACAGCGATGACATATGGCCACACTCACCGTCATGCGAAAGGAATAAGTGCATGTTCGCTTAGGGAAACACTCGGCTATCTTAGGTCCCATAAGGATAAACTTTCACATGGATTAACTGCATTTGAAAGCTATAGTGGGTCGACGGCTTTCAAAAATACTCGAAAAATGTGGGTTCCTTGCCGGGTCGCACTAGCTAGCAATATTGAGGGGGGTACAAGGGGCAGAGGTACGGGAGAAGGGGGGACGGGAGACGGGAGAGGATGGGGCGGGAGACGGGAGAAAAGGGGACGGGGAGAGGGAGGGGAAGGAGTGGGAGTAGGGAGGCCAGTGGGCGGGAGGATTGAGAAAAAGAGAGAGAGAGAGAGAGAGAGAGAGACAGAGAGAGATTTAGCAAGCGAGTTCAGTTACTATATGGTGTAGTAAGAGTACCAAATTTGGGCATGTGACATCATTATCAGCGCTCCAAGCGGTGACGGAAACCGATAGCCGAATGCTTAGAGGCGTGTAGGTGCTGACTGATGTGGATTCGAGGCGCTGTGATGCCTGTGGGAGGGGAGGTTTAGGAGCCAATATCTCAGCCTAGGAGTATCGTATTGACAGCGGTTGGTCTTGTTTAGATAGCAAAGAATTCTGCTTAATGCAGTACCATAAAATTATTCTAGACTCGCAGGCAAAGTAGAATAATCATGTCTTGAAATAGCACTATTTTCCCGTTTTCCGTTTGTACACTCTAGTATTATTAGCTCTTGATATCATATATATATATTATATATATATATATTTAATATATATATAATGATATCAAGAGCGTATAAAGAAGGCCTTCTTAATACGCTTCTTGATGATATCTATATATCATAATAGTTATTCTTCACATCATTTCTGTTGAGTGTGGGTCATATACTGTCGTATTTCTAGGCACTGTTCGTTCTTGTTTTGCCGCGTATTTAAGCTATTCAGCCTTGGCTGGCGGTTCGGCCCGTTTACATTATGTTTAGTCATGTGACTCGCGGGTTTCCTTGTCGCGGTATAAAAGCGTCTGTTGTGCGTGGCACGGGGCCTTTTGCTGCTTGAGCCGTATTTATACGTTCGCGTGCGCTCGCGCATTTCTTCCACGATGCACCATACATTTTTACTGTTACGTTCCGCGTGCGTGATAATCAATACTGGAGATATCAATTTGGAGATATCAAAAAGATGCCGAGTTGAGTATTGATTATCACGCACGGAACGTAAACTATATATATATATATATTATATATATATTATGAGCAGTATTTTAGCATTTTAGCTATGAAATATGAATCAATTTGGAGATATCAATTTGGAGATATCAAAAAGATGCCGAGTTGAGTATTGATTATCACGCACGGAACGTAACATATATATACATATAAAAAGAAAAAAATATATATATATTAGTATATACCTATATATGATGTAGCGAGCTATTTTCAGCAGTTTTAGCTATGAAATAAGTTTGAATATGTGCGGAAGAAACGATTAATACACAAATTATATATAATATATATATATTATAATATTTTATGTTGTATTAATTTACATATATAAT